TCAGATAAATATTCCAAATATAACAGTTGAGCGACCGTGCTAGAACCACGGAACCCGGGAATGCCTAACACCTTTTCCCGGGTTAACAGAATTCCTTACTCGGATTTCTGGTTCGCGGACTATTAACAGAGTCATATTTTCCTCGGATCGGGATTCAACCAGTGACTTGGGACATCATTAATCTCCCAAGTGGCGACTCTGAATCCTAATAATAAATCCCGTTCCGATTGTCCTTTAATTGGAAAAACTCTTCTATACCCTTGCGGGTGTAGTGAAAAAGGAGGTGTGACAGCTCTGGCGACTCTGCTGGGGACAAGAACCCAGAACGTTTTGTTCAGGGTTCAGAATTCGAGCTTAGAATAATTGTTGTGTTTGGCTTTATCTGATTTTCCTACATGTTTCATGCTAAATGTGCTAAATGTTTACCGCTTTGATATTATCTGAATTGTATGTAAATTGTGCCGAACCCCTTCTCTTCTCACCTCCGGGGATGTGCTTACTGGTTGAGACTCCCTATTCTGTTAGTGTTCTACCCTGAAATAAAAAAAGAGGCTCGGACAAGTTACTAAGCCGGACGATCTTGCGGGTCCCCGGTACGTAGCCCCCTCCTCGACTCGAGTTGTCCTCCCGGGTACACTGTTTAGAACATATACCCAGGTTTCGAACCTAGAATAACATGACTTCATGCCGGATCCCTAGTAGGAACGCTTATTTGCATCATGTACATTTCTGGCTTAGGGGACTCAACACAGGGGTTGGGTCTGTCTAGGACAAGCAACCCGAAATGAAAAAGACCATCCTGATGCATCCTACTTGTTTTCTGTGCATTTATTTATTTCGGACCTGCATGCTGACCGGCTTCTGAATATCGGGAATACTGGAAAATTGAGAAAAAGAGAAAAAGAGAGAAATAGCAATGTAGAGAGTTAATTGCCTATTTTTAAAAAAAAACCAACGCCCAAATATTGTCGAAACTCTGCCGAAATTTCGAAAAAAAAATGAAAAAATGTTTTGTTTTAGTTGTTTTATTCGAAAAGCAAAAGAAAAAGAGTCTTTCATTTTTAGTTTGTCTTGTTTTCAAAAATGGAAAAGGAAAAATAGTTTGTTTTGCCATGGAAAATAAAAAAGAAAAAGTTTTGTTTTCAAAAATAATTTGCTTTGTTTACCCGAACTATGCCAGTTTGATTCTCACAGGGCGTGAGATACGTAGGCAACCCCCATCGGGTCAAACTTTTCGGGTTTTGCAAAAATAGCCCAAAATGAACAAAAATTTTTGTTTTATTGTAAATAAGTCGGGTGATGCTGCTTTTGTCAAAAATAGCCGAATGTTCCCGAAAGTGGCGTCGGAAGGCTGATTTTGCATAAATAGCCACCTTTGGTCATTTTTTAAGGTTTGACCGGTTAATCTACACAGCCTTAAAATCTTCGTCCCCGAAGTGCTGAAAGGCCGTGTTCGAGAAACTGGGTCTTTCATTTTAATTTGGAAAAAAGAAAATAGTCAGTTTTTGAGTCAAATAAGTTTTACTTTTGCTTAATCACCTTAATAAATGTGCAGAATGAGCACGAGTCAGAATTTACCCGGAGCCATTATAAACAAGATCCCTTTGGAATTGCACATATGGTGGGATGACTTGGGCGAATCAGGGCGAGACACGGTCAAATTGTCTTTGGGAGGCCTTACTGGGTTGCTGAAGATTAATCCGAGGGGGGATATCATAAAGGCATTGGTTCCATTCTGGGACCCGGCACACAATGTATTTCACTTCTCCGATTTTGAACTTACCCCGACATTGGAAGAGATAGCCGGATACATCGGGGGTCCCAAGGTTCCTTTGAGAAAACAGTACTTGATTGCTCCGAGGGCCATAGCCATACACAAGTTCTTAGACTCTTTGAAGATACGCAGGACGGTTCACAACCCGGACTTGGCGGCTGGCTTTTGTACTCTGTCATTCATATACGACAGATATGGTCATGTAGGAGGGTTCAACAACCCAGAGAGTAAAATCTGTAGCAAGGATAACCGCCTCAAGTGGGAAGAACATAGGTGTGTTGCGTTTATGGTGGCCTTTTTGGGACTTCTGGTGTTCCCCAGAAAAGATGGGAAAATTGATATACGAGTAGCCGGTGTTGTCAGTACTTTGGTCACTCAGGATAACAGCACTCTTGCACCTATGATAGTAGCCGACATCTTCCGTGCTCTTACTGCTTGCAAAGCCGAGGAGGACTTTTTTGAGGGTTGTAATGTATTGCTGCAAATGTGGATGATTGAACACCTGTGCCATCGCCCTCAATTTATGAGCTATGGGTCATCGGAGAAGACATGTATAGAAGAGTTTTCTACAAGGGTCGACGGGATTAGTTTGCCAGAGGGGGTCACCGAATGGGTAGCATGCCTGCGTTCCGTCACCGCGTGCCAGATAGAGTGGACATTTGGGTGGTTATCTGTGGACGAAATCATATATATGTCAGCCACAGGATCTCATTTTCTACTGATGTGGCTCAAGAGTATTCAACCATATGCCCTGTACCGAGTCTTAAGGCAGTTGGGGAGATGCCAAATAGTCCCGAAGAATGAAGATCTCAGCAGCTAGGTAGTCGAAATTGGGCCTAATGGTCAATTCCCTGAAGCAGTCGTTTGCAAAATCTGGAACGAATGTCAATACTTAAAAGCAGATACTTGCGTGCGGGATCGGTCCAAAGGCGAAGTGTTGCCAGGATACCTTGCTTGGTATAAGAGGGAGCTTGAGTTCGAGAGGCCAGCTAACAGACCTCGCCTCCAAGATTTTGCTGAGTCATCACATGAACAATGGGCCTGGTTTAGCTAAGGAAAATGAATACAGGGCCAAGATAGGAAAATTGGAGAAGCAGGTCCAAGACCTTAAGTTTGAAAACAGCGTGCAAGCTGCAGCTGACGAGGGGGATAAAAAGAAGCTGGCCCAAGAAAATGAAGCTCTTAAGGCCCAGATCCGACAAATGAGGAAAGATGCTGACAACCAACAAAGGAGTCGGTCGGATGAAAGATTGATAAACTGATTGAAAAAGGAAATCATTGAGTACCGGGACGATCTGAAGAAATCCGAGGGTACCATAGCAGGACTCCGGGCACAATGGGCAAAAAGAACAGAAGAGCGCACACAGTACTTGCAGCAGATGAAGAAAGATTACGAAAAAACCATTGCTAATCTGAAAAGAAAAGTGACCACCCTTGAGGACAAAGCAGCTAAGCAAGCCAAAGCTTTTGAAACCGAAAGTAGACATTGCTATGACTTACTGGCCCGAATGGAAGACGAAATACAGCAGTTGCAGAGTCAGCATCTCCAGGATTCTCAGGTTTTGGAGGCCCGTAATGATCAGATAAGGCGCTTGCTCATAGAAAAAGGTCGAATCAGGGACAGGATTCAGACCATTGCCCATGCCATCGTTAAGAAATGCCGAGTGTGTGAAGACATGACCCGCACTACCTTCTTTTCGGCAGTAATGATTTTTGTCAAGCGGATAATGTATGAACTGGAACAACTGGAAAGGGATCTTGTACCTAAGCCCGCGGCGAGGCCGAACGATGCCCCATGGGCACCAAATTTTGATGCTTTAATGTATTCGTAGTTTGAGTCTGTATTTCTTTTTTAGAAGTTGTTGTCTGTTGGAGTCTGTTTTTCCTTTTTTCGCATCAGAGTCTGCCAGTAGGTCTTGAGTATGTACTTTTCTCTGTTTCGAGTCTGTTGTTTTTCCTTTCCAAAATCGTCTAGTTTGTAATAGAATGTTTTATTAATGAAAATTGAAAATTCCCAAAAATTGTTTCTTTATTTTTTGCATTTGTTTCACGAACTACGCTTTGTCTGATTCGTGCGGGGTCACGATACGTAGGCAATCCTCATCGGATTCGACTGTAACCTCAAGAGGAAAGGCAAAAGAGATAGGAAAGAAAATGAAAGAAAAACAGAAAAAAGCAAAAGAGCGGGAAAAATGAAAAACCAAGAAAAGCATGGCAAAAGAAATAAAAAATGAAAGAAAAGCAAAAAGAAAAGAGGAAAGTGTTGTAATCTAAAATGAGAAAAGGCAGGGATGACGCATGCGATCGAGAAAATGCATATTAGAAACGGTTAACTGTATAGGTGCATTCATGTCAATGTGCGGTTATCCAATCTGTTAAAGCCTAATCGCTAACAAAGTTGTTGTCTAATGTGATGAGTACAGACAGGTGGTTAGTTGATCAGGTATTCTGGCAACCCATCCATACAACACCCGGTCAAAAGATAAAGTGAACATGACAGGCAAGAATCGGATACCAGTATTGTGGACCCGTCGAAAGAGGTTGAGGTGACAGATGTGAACGCCATGAAAGAGGAGATGCGTAAACTGAAGCAACAGATGGCCGAGATGTATCAGGCCTGGGCTCAGGGGCATCCGGCGCCAGTGTATCCCGCCAATCCAGCCTATGTCCCGCCTTTGGTTCAGGCTCAGGAGCCTCCTACCTCAAATCCATCTCCAGCCTTCCCTTACTACACACAGGGTTATGGCACTACTTCCTACGCTCCCCAACCTCCACCACCCAAACAAAACCCTCCTCCACCAATTGCTCCTGTCTTTGTGGTACCTCCACCCGCCACACTGCAGAGATCATCCAGTGAGGCTTTGTTTCAAACTCACGATAACCAATACTATCCTCCTGAACCTACTTTCAAAGCTCCTGAGTCATACTCTTATACCCCTCACTTTGAGCTCCCGGCAGAGACTGAAAAGCCGTCTAAGAGCCCAGAGCAGGAAGAAGTGCTTCGAAAAGTGAAAAGTCTGGAGCAGTCCTTCAGGAATATGCATGGGTTGGGCGGCTAGGTCAGTGTGGCCTATAAAGATCTGTGTTTGTTCCCCGATGTTCAGCTACCGGCGGGGTTCAAAATGCCAAAGTTCGACCTGTATGATGGGCACGACGATCCAGTGGCACACTTGCGAGGGTTCTGTACTAAGATGAGAGGGGCCGCTGTGGGAAAGACGAGCTGTTAATGGTGTACTTTGGGCAGAGTTTGAGTGGGTCCGCCCTAGAATGGTACACACGACAGGATCCTAGCAGGTGGTATACTTGGGATGATTTGGCACAGGCGTTCGCTGGCCAGTTCCAATATAATCTTGAGATCGTCCCAGACCGGTTGTCGTTGATAAAACTCGAGAAGAAACCCGAGGAAAGCTTCAGGGAGTATGGGTTCCGCTGCAGAGAGCAGGCTGCGAGGGTTGACCCTCCCATGAAAGAAAGCGATATGGTGGACTACTTTTTGCAGGCTTTAGAGCCAACTTATTTTGGTCACTTGGTGACGGCAATTGGTAAATCTTTTAACGAAGTTGTGAAGATGGGAGGTATGGTCGAAGAAGGATTGAATTCTAACAAAATCATGAGCTATTCAGCGATTAAAGCAACCACCCAGGCCATCCAAAGCGGCACTGGGGGTGTGCTTGGAAAGAAGAATAAAGAAGAGGTTGCCACAGTTGAATCCGGAGCTTGGTCCGGATCTAGAGGTCCTTCACCCTATTACAACCAACCCAGACCCCACCACCCAAATTAACCATACACCTCATATGGACATCCACAACACTACTAACCACCACCAGATCCACACTTTTCCGTCCACCATTCCCAAACTTATACTCAGCCTCTGGCTCACACGCAATGGCGTGCACCGGCTTCCCAAAACACATACTCAGCTCCACAAAACACATATCCACCCCCGAGGGCCTACAGACCAGGATCCGGCTTCCGTCCAAACCGGGCCTTCAGGAACGAAAGAGTACAGAAACAGAAAACATTCACTCCATTGGGAGAATCTTACACCAGCATTTTCCATAGATTGAAGCAATTGGGCATGTTAAACCCAATCGAGCCCAAAATGCCAAATCCCCTTCCTAGAAATCTGGACCATTCAGTAAGCTGCGAGTACTGTTCAGGGGCCCCAGGGCATGATACCGAGAAGTGATGGAAATTGAAAAACGATGTGCAAGAGCTCATTGACAGTCACCGGATCGAGGTTCAAGCCCCAGAGGCACCGAATATCAACCAGAACCCTTTGCTAGCTCATCACGAGGCCAACATAATTGAATTGATACACAAGGGAGTAGAGCCTAAGAAGCCTTCGCAGGCAGTAATGATGATCTGTTCTAGCGAAGCCAAGGTGAATAAGAAGGCAGCTAGTGTGAAACCAGCGATTCAGTCAAAAAGGGTAGGTAGCATGCCAGTTGTGGTGATCGGGAAAGGGTCGACAAGCACTGTTGCAGTAAAATTAGAGCCAATCAAAGTGGTGGTCCAGGGGGAAGCAGACAAAACCGTGGTAGTCGTGAAGGGGGCTCCCATAGAGCCGGTCATCATAAAGCCAGTGACTCAGTTGCCAGTGACCAATAGCAAAGCCATCCCTTGGAATTATGAACAGGTAGCAGTGACTTATAAGGGGAAGGAAATCAAAGAAGAAGTTTGTGAAGCGCAAGGTTTAACTCGGTCGGGAAGGTGCTTTGCTCCCAAAGAGTTGAGAAAGGCCAGGGTTCCTAAAGACAACCCGGTACTGGTTAAGAAAGCTTTAACAGAAGAAGAGGCAGAGGAGTTCTTGAAAAAGATGAAAGTGCAAGACTACTCTATTGTTGAACAACTAAGGAAGACACCGGCCCAAATCTCATTACTTTCATTGCTTATTCACTCAGATGAGCATCGCAGGGCATTGATGAAGATACTGAACGAGGCTCATGTCCCCGACAAAATCTCGGTGAATCATCTAGAGAAGATAGCAAATAAGATCTTTGAAGTAAACAGAGTGACATTCTCCGATGATGAGTTGCCAGTAGAGGGCACGGAACATAACAGGGCTCTGTATTTGACAATAAAGTGCGAGGATTCGGTGGTCACCCGGGTGCTCGTTGATAATGGGTCCACTGCAAACATCTGTCCGTTGTCCACATTGAACAAGCTGAAGGTTAACGACGACAGAATTCATAAGAATAGCATCTGTGTTCGAGGATTTGATGGTGGAGGTACAGACACAGTTGGTGACATAATTTTAGAACTGACGATCGGGCCGGTGGAGTTCACTATGGAGTTTCAGGTACTAGACGTGGTGATGTCTTATAACCTTCTGTTGGGACGACCATGGATCCACGCCGCCAAGGCGGTGCCTTCTACACTGCATCAGATGGTCAAGTTCGAATGGGATAGACAGGAGATCGTAGTGCATGGCGAAGACAATATGTGCGCTGTAAGTGATGCCATTGTGCCCTTCAAAGAAGTTGACGATGATAAGGGGCCATGGGTCTACCAGGTCTTCGACACGGTCTCAGTGGAAAAGGTTCCTGAAGGTAAAAGCATCCCAGCCCCTAGAATCACGGCCGCAACCGTCATGGTAGCTTCGGAGATTTTAAAGAACGGGTTTGTGCCGAGAAAAGGTTTGGGTGTTGATCTGCAAGGTATTGTTCAGCCGGTTTCTTTGCCCAAGAATCTAGATACTTTTGGGTTGGGATTCAAGCCTACAGCTGCGGACATAAGGCGGGCCCGCAAAATGAAGAAAAGGGCATGGGTCCTTCCCAAGCCGACCCCACGATTGTCCAGGCCCTTCGTCAGGCCGGGTGTCGGGAAGAAACTATTGGCAAAGGTGCCTGGGTCACTAATTGGTGCAGATGGAGACTTGGGAAGGGGTTTGAAAGGTTATTTGCTGAAGTAAACATGGTTGAAGCCGATGAAGGGTCCAGCAAGGTAGACATACAGTTCGTCGGGCCACGTGCTAAAGTCAACAACTGGGAAGCCACTCCTCTTCCTACCCGGAGGGAGTCGTGGTAGTGGGTTTTGTTTTCCTTTAGTTCACCTGGATTATTCCAGGGTTTGTAATTCAGTTGCTATGTTCCGTCCGTTTGGATGAGTTAAAACCCTGTTATCTTTACATTCAATGAAATGCAATTTTCTTTCTTTCTTCAGTCCTAATTTTGTTTCCATTTTTCTTTTCTTCTCTGTACAGTTCTTTTTATGCTGATATCAATGACATGACATTCATGAGGAATCTTCGGCCCAGTTTTAAAAGTCAATCTAACTCAGAAATAATAACACAAGAAATTGAGTGTGATGATGAGGTGGAATATGATGATGATGAGGCCTATGAAGAAATTGGTAAGGAATTAAACCACTTTGAGGAAAAACCCAAACCTAACCTAAATGACACAGAAGCAGTTAATCTAGGGGACCAAGATAATGTCCGTGAAACTAAAATAAGTATTCATCTGGAACCACAACTCAAGGAGGAGATAATTAAGGCGTTGTTCTAATACAAGGATATTTTTGCATGGTCATATGATGATATGCCGGGTCTAAGCACGGATTTAGTGGTTCACAAATTTCCCACTGATCCGACACTCCCTCCTGTCAAGCAAAAGTTGAGAAAGTTCAAAACGGATATAAGTGTAAAGATCAAATAGGAGATCACCAAGCAGTTCGATGCGAAAGTCATTCGGGTCACGCGGTATCCTACCTGGTTAGCCAATGTTGTGCCTGTGTCAAAGAAGGATGGCAAAACCAGGGTGTGTGTTGATTATCGGGATCTTAACATGGCGAGTCCAAAAGACAATTTTCCACTGCCAAACATGAGATTGGTTCTTTTGTGGATTGTTACGCGGGTTATCATCAGATCTTAATGGACGAGGAAGATGTAGAAAAGACGGCATTCATCACGCTGTGGGGAACATACTGTTATCGGGTCATGCCGTTTGGTTTGAAAAATGCTGGGGCAACCTATATGAGGGCAATGACGACAATATTCCATGACATGATACACAAGGAAATTGAGGTGTACGTGGATGATGTGATCGTGAAGTCTAGACAGCAGTCTGACCATGTCAGAGATTTGAGAAAATTCTTCCAAAGGCTCCGCAAGTACAATCTTAAGCTCAATCCTGCAAAGTGCGCTTTTGGGGTGCCATCTGGGAAGTTGTTGGGATTCACAGTCAGCCGCCGGGGTATTGAACTAGACCCGTCAAAAATCAAGGCTATTCAGGAGTTACCGCCTCTGAGGAACAAGACTAAGGTGATGAGTCTGTTGGGGAGAAATTATATCAGTAGGTTCATTGCTCAGCTCACGACGACTTGTGAGCCCATCTTCAAATTGTTAAAGAAAGATGATGCGGTAAGGTGGACAGATGAATGTCAAGAGGCTTTCGATAAGATAAAGGGGTATTTGTTGAATCCACCCGTGTTGGTCCCGCTAGAACCAGGGAGGCCTTTGATTCTATATTTGACGGTTTTGGATAATTCATTTGGCTGCGTATTGGGGCAACATGATGTTACTGGTAGAAAGGAGCAGGTTATCTATTATCTCAGCAAGAAATTCACATCTTACGAGGTTAAGTATACTCATCTTGAAAGGACATGTTGCGCTCTAACTTGGGTCGCACAGAAGTTCAAGCATTATTTGTCCTCCTACACTACTTATCTCATATCTCGATGGGATCCATTGAAATATATTTTTCAGAATCCTATGCCCACAGGGAGGCTTGCAAAGTGGCAGATCCTGCTTACAGAATTTGACATTGTTTATGTGACACGGACTGCGATGAAGGCACAGGCCTTAGCTGATCATTTGGCTGAGAATCCAGTTGATGAAGATTATGAACCGTTGAAAACTTATTTCCCTGATGAAGAGGTAATGCACATTGATGAGTTGGAATAGGTCGAGAAGCCGGGATGGAAGCTTTTCTTTGATGGGGCTGCAAATATGAAAGGCGTGGGAATAGGAGCGGTACTTATTTCTAAAACAGGGCAGCATTACCCTGTTACGGCTCAGCTTCGTTTCTATTGTACCAACAACACGGCAGAATATGAGGCATGTATCTTGGGTCTGAGGTTAGCAGTTGATATGGGTGTCCAGGAAGTCTTGGTCATGGGTGACTCAGACCTACTGGTACACCAAATTCAAGGAGAATTGGAAATACGAGACTTAAAGCTTATACCATACCGACAATGTTTGCATGAGCTTTGTCAACGGTTTCAGTCGATAGAGTTCAGGCACATTCCAAGGATTCATAATGAAGTTGCCGATGCTTTGGCTACTTTGGCATCAATGCTACATCATCCGAATAAGGCTTATGTGGACCCTTTGCAGATTCAGGTCCGTGATCAGCATGCTTACTGTAATGTGGTGGAAGAGGAACTTGATGGTGAGCCGTGGTTTCATGACATCATGGAATATATCAGGATGGGTGTGTATCCGGTACAAGCCACAGGTGATCAGAAAAGAACAATTCGACATTTGGCAAGCGGGTTTTTCCTTAGCGGAGGAGTGTTGTACAAAAGAACTCCAGATCTAGGGCTGTTAAGATGCATGGATGCGAGACAGGCCACAACTATCATGACTGAGGTACATTCCGGAGTTTGTGGACCACATATGAGTGGGTATGTTCTGGCAAAGAAGATCCTCCGAGCAGGTTATTATTGGCTCACTATGGAGCGAGATTGCATCAACTTCGTACGCAAATGTCATCAGTGCCAAGTGCATGGAGATTTGATTCATTCTCCGCCATCAGAACTACATACGATGTCCGCACCATGGCCTTTTGTTGCATGGGGCATGGATGTCATTGGGCCAATTGAGCCAGCAGCGTCGAATGGGCACAAGTTCATTTTGGTGGCTATAGATTATTTTACCAAGTGGGTGGAGGCTAAAACGTTCAAGTCCGTAACCAAGAAAGTTGTAGTGGATTTTGTGCATTCAAACATTATCTGTCGGTTTGGGATACCAAAGGGGATTATCACAGCCAATGGAGCTAATCTCAATAGTTATTTGATGAAGGAGACATGTGAGAAGTTCAAGATTATCCATCGCCATTCTACTCCTTACCGCCCTAAGGCAAATGGTGCGGTTGAAGCGGCCAACAAGAATATAAAGAAAATACTCCGGAAAATGGTAGAAGGTTCTAGACAGTGGCATGAAAAGCTGCCTTTTGCATTGTTGGGGTACCGCACCACGGTTCTTACTTCAATAGGGGCGACTCCTTATTCATTGGTGTATGGCACCGAAGCAGTAATACCTGCAGAAGTGGAAATCCCGTCCCTTCGAATTATTGCGGAGGCTGAGATTGATGATGATGAATGGGTGAAGACCTGCCTTAAACAGTAGAGTTTGATTGATGAGAAAAGGTTGGCATCAGTGTGTCATGGCCAATTGTACCAGCAAAGAATGGCAAGAGCGTACAACAAGAAAGTGCGTCCAAGGAAATTTGAAGTGGGACAGTTAGTGCTGAGACGTATTTTACCCCATTTGGCCGAAGCCAAGGGAAAGTTCGCTCCAAACTGGCAGGGACCATTTGTCGTAACCAGAGTGTTGTCCAATAGTGCACTATATCTAACAGATGTGGAAGGAAAATGTGTAGAAATGGCTATCAATTTCGATGCAGTCAAGAGATACTATGTATGATTTATTCTGATTGTACTTGATTGTATTTGGCATATTTTGAAGATTGAAATGACGAAGGCGTTTTGTTCTGCTATCTAAACATTTTATCCCTTGTCACCCCTTTTGAGCCTTGTTTATTTTCTCTCATAACCCTCTTTCGGAATCAATGGCACAATTAAGAAATACAAGTGCGAGAAGACAAGTAAATGAAGCAAGAAGGAATAAAAAGAAAAGAAAGAAGAAGGAAAGAGAAAAGAAAGGAAAAGAAAGAAAAGAAAAGAAAAGAAAAGAAAAGAAAAAATGAAAAGAAATGAAAAGAAGAACAGAAAAACAAAAGAAAAGAAGGAAAAGAAAGAATCACAACAACACAGTAATTCCTATGACGTGAACTACGTTTGACTTGATCCCGAAAGGGTACGTAGGCAGCCTTCCTCTGAGGTTCAGTCATACCAAAATAAAAATCCAAAAGTCCCCAAGAAACTGGGGCAGAAGTTGTGATTGTTTTGAGAAATTGGATTCCGAAAGTTGTAATTTTAACCCATTTTGATATTGTTTTTGAGCCTTTTATATCCTTCTTTTCTAACCCGTCCAAAAGCCTACATTACGGTCCAAAGAAAGACCTTCTGATCAATCTTTGAGAAATGCCAAGTCAAGCAGGTAAAGGTAATTCATGACAGGGGCAACACTCTGGTTCAAGCAGTAAAAATTAAAAAATGAGAGTCTTATTGGTGAAAACCCTCACGGGCACCGTAAGGCGACGGGAGCTGAGAGAAATAAAAATGAGAGAGTCTTATTGGTGAAAATCTTCATAGGCACCATAGGGCGATGTGAGTTGAGAGAAATGAGAGAGTCTTATTGGTGAAAACCCTCACGGGCACCTTGAGGCGAAAATGGGTTAAGAAGTGAACAAATGAGAAAGGTCTGCTGGGGAAAACTGTTTCGAGGCACCGCAGGATGAACAAGGTCAAGGTTTGGGTTAAGTAATCAAGTGATGGAAATTTTGGGGTAAAAAGTATGGAAACTGAAAGCTGGTTGGTTGGACAGATTGGGCCGATTAGTCCGAAATGCATGTCATGACCGTTGGTACCAGCTGTTCCGGTCAGATAAGTTTCTTTTCCTTCTCTTTTAGCAATCATCCGGTTTTGGATTCTTCTTATCCTTAACTCATAAAATCATTGCATTTCATTTTCTTTTGGGGGTTTTATCTGTCTAATATATTTCAATGTCAGTCTTGTTCAAAGCAAGTAGGAAAAGGATTTCAGAGCTCATTACCAGCTTCCGAAAAT